ATTCTAATATTACATAGACATACTTTTGATACATTTAGCTGTGTTCTGCTTTGTATGTATTTTATTTTATTTGTTTCATATTTCTTATTTCATCCATGTTTTCAATTATTAGACTAAATTTGCCAATAAATACCGTAGTTTTGAAATACATTTTTTGCAGCTTTTAGTTTTTAATATTAATTTACAATATGGTCACCCAACACTTAATAGCCTCTACCTCAAGAGGTAGAGGAGCCAAATGGCTGGCTCACTGCTGCCAACAAGTGGTCAGAGGCTGAACTACAACAAAAATGAATGGCTGGCAGGAAAGTTGACATTTTAAAACTTAATAAAAAATCGATACAGGGCTTAAGAATATTGATACAGTATTGGGAAATGAAATATTGCGATATTTCAGTGTATCAATATTTCCTTACACCCCTACTGGTTGCCACGTAGATGAAAGGTGTGCAGCTTGTGTCTGCAGTTATTTACAATAATGGAGCTGTGAATATTATTATTGTGATGGAGGTGAATTTTTAAAATAAAGTCGCCTTTGTCTGAAGCACGAGACTTATTTAAGGTTGCTGTGTTTTGCTTGCAGATAATGAGCAGCTGGCCCGATCAGGGACAAACTGCCTGGAGAACCTGGTGATTCTGAACGGGGAGAAGTTCAGCCCAGAGGTCTGGGACATCACCTGCTCCTGCATGTTGCAGATCTTCCAGAACACCAGCCCTCACGTGTGAGGATCAAATCACTCTCCTATCAGTTCTGCACACAGAATCAGACACTTTGATCTCAGGAACATGGCTGTTATTTAGGAGTTGAGCTGTGACCGCTCCTGATTTTCAATCTGTGTTTGCTTTTCACTTCAGTTTGTTGACTTGGCGACCGGCCGGACAGGATGAGGAAGCTACTGACGGCAAGCACTTTGTACGCAAATAAACCGTCTCAGCCAATGACGTGAAAATGATCGAACACATGACGAGCTGCTTTAATTTAAACAGTTTTATTATATAAACTGTTTTATTTCCCAGTCATGAAACCGACGTTTGTTATCATTTGTTTCCCAGGATGGTGATTTTGACAGTCAGTCCCAGAGCAGCTTCGACAGGGCTCTGTCTGAGAGAGGACACAGCCAGATGTCCAGCGACGACACCTGGAAGGGCAAATCCAACGCCAGTGAGTGCGCAGAATACGCACGCTCATCTTTGAACCGTTTGAATCAGTTTAGCTTCAGAAAGATTGTAAAAAGTTAATTTTTGCATGTTTCTGTGCTGCAGGAGTTTCGGACCAGAGGCTGTTTGCGGGGCTCCTGATTAAATGTGTGGTGCAGCTTGAACTCATCCAGACTGTAGACAACATTGTCTTCTTCCCAGCAACCAGCAAGAAGGAGGATGCCGACAACATGGCTGCTGCACAGGTAGAGTGAGAAACACCAGGGGTGGGCACGGTTCTGTTCATCTGCTAACCTGTAGGGATGTGACAATTGTGAACGATCCAAATCTTCTGAACKGCTCCTCACAACGAAAGATAGGAACAGAGTTGTGGGCGGTGAAGAGCCGTTTGTAGTTTTATCCTATTAATTTTTTAACTCCTCGTAAAAAAACGAGGAGGGAGGACCTCAGTTTAGCTTGTTTGTCGCGCTAGCGCCAAGCTAAGGCAATGTAGCGTCAGTGCTAGCGTGAAGGCTAACAAGCTAAGCTGAGGTTCTTCTTCCATGAAGCAGCTCTGTTGTCCTC